AATTTCTTTTGTAGTTTCTGATTCTTGTGTGAAACTCAGGCCTTCAAGTTTAGGTCTGCTTCTTTTTGTGAACTTTGTGTCTTTGTGGTTTACTTTTTGGGCATGAAACGCTGGTTCGTCTGAGCTTCTGGTTCTCTCTTTTGATTTTATATTGGATTGGCAGGATTGCTTTTGTCTTCAGGAGTTCCCACAGAGGCCCAATTCAGATGAGGTTCAGGTGTTTTAAGGGTTTCTCCTAAGGTCTGGATCCCTCCAGGAATGATTTTGGCCTCAGGAATTTGGGGGTTAGACTGGCCTGGGAGACTGGCCCAGGAAAGATGCTGATCTAGGAGAGCTGGTGGCTGTGCCACCCAAAGATGCAAAGGCAGATGGGGCGGGAAGAGGTTCCAAGGACTCTTGGGGACTGCACTGAGGAGCTGGGTTGGTCTGGATGCAAAGGATCAGAAAGAGGAAAGGTCAGCCCCCTCCTCCCAGAAAGAGGCTGGCAGGTGGTGCAGGACCAGGGAAGTAGAGGGAGGTGAGGGCAGGGCCAGCCCCAGAATGTGCCTGGGGACCCAAGAAGGCACTGAATTGGTCTGGATGCAAAGGATCAGGAAGCAGTGGTGTTCCCTCGGGTGTCTGAGGCACCAAGACATGTAATGGGACAGGACCCAGGCTACTAGGAGAGACCGGTGGGGGAGATGGGAGGGCGAATGAGGCTGGGGAAGTCAAGGTGCGGAGGGCGTGATGGACTTACCCTAGAGAGAGGCCTAGCAGATCAAGTCAGAGAGAGGCCTGTGGGTCCTGCAGGCCAAGGGAAGCAGAAGGAGGTGAGGGCAGGGCCAGGCCAAGAAGCAGTGCTCCTGGGGACCAGAGAAGGCACTGAGTTGGTCTGGTTGAAAAGGATCAGGAAGCAGTATTGGTTCCCCAGGTGTCGAGGCCCCAAGACTAGGAATGGCGCAGGGGCCAAACTAGGAGTAGAGAACAGCGGGGGAGATGGAAGGGTGAATGTGGCTGGGGGAGTCAAGGCGCCGAGGGCTGTGCTATAGACTTACCCCAAGAGGCCTGAGGATAGGAGTC